AATATTTCAAGTAAATGCTAGAAGAAACATTTTCAGTAATTTTGCTGCTTGACACAGAACTTCTGAAGGGACCTCAAGAGGTGAGCTATGCTATGCTTGTGCTTCACAGCAGGATGAAACGAACTCTGTCAAATCTGAGCAATGCTCACCTAACCTGTTCTTAAAGGCCTTCAAGTACCTTTTCCATGAGCTGTCCAGACAACCTCTCCAGAACCTCCCTAGCTTTACCTTTAGAAACTTGACCTTTATTCCTCATCTGAATCTTTCTTGCTCAATTTTAGGCCCATTGCTTTGTGTCCCATCTACTGGAAAGAAACAATATAGTTTACTACATCAGCTTTTTACAGCTTCCTACACAGACGATTGTTAATATGCCTCCCTACCCTCTTCATTTTGCAGAAATATTGGGCATTGTTTACAGTTTGAATAGCTTCTGTTTCCTACATATCTTGACAACCTTCTTGCTTTTCTTTGCACGGCTTCCATTTTATTCATACAAGTGGGGTGTCAAAACTAGATGGAGGACTACTCAGAAAAAGGGGTACTTCAGACTGTGAGCCATTTTTCATGTCTCACAACCCCATGATAATGAGTACTCATTATCATCTTCTGATTCACTATCACTTCAGATCCTTCTCCAAAAAAAAATATTACTTTATGGTAACTTTTCCTCCTTTATTTGTACAGCTAATATTCCTCCTTAAACAACGGCATTTACATATCCTTTGTATTTCATCCTATATGTAGGTCATTTCTCCAACTGTGCAAAGTTATTTCAATCGACCTTCCTGCTTTCCAGCATTCCATTCCTACCAGCTCCACAGCATATTCAATTTTCAGAGCACACTATTAATAGGTCTGCTGTCTTCATTCATCATTGCAGTAGTATAACAAACATTGAATGGAATAGAATCCTCACTCACTAGATGTTCATTCACTACTTTCTTTAACTGACAAAATCTTCAGTAGTTTCTGAGTATAGTTACCTAATTAGCTCTGCAAGTCTCTTACATTAATTGAATCCAGACAATTTTCCACTAGTTTACTTACAGAACTGTCACATAAGAGTATCCAAAGTAGTACAGTACTAGTACAAGCAACACCTACCAACTGCCTTTCCCATGTCCACAGGGGACTGATGCCTATTTTAAATAAAAAAATTAGGGCTTGGCATACCTTTAGTAAAAAATGCATACTTACTACTTCTTATCTTTGTTACCTTTCAAATGCTTACAGTATATTATTTGTTCCAAATCTGACCCCCAAGATTTAAACTGCACACCAATTATTTTAATTCCTCTTTTAAGAGACACATGCCCATTCCTGTAATCAGTAGCTCACTTCTCTTAAGTTCTCAAGTATAATTGCCAGTGGTTCCAAAAATCTATTTCGGTGAGTTCCTGAAGTTTCACAGAAAAAAGTCCATTACATCCAGTAAAAGAAGAAACTAAAGAAAACTTTAACTGAAGAAAAAAATTGTGAAAACATCCTGCTCTCTCCTCATGAGAGAGATGAGGTTGAGCTGTGTGCAGCTTACTTCTAACAATGAGAGACCCTGGGAATCTGTTCGCAGTTTCTTTTTAGTGACAGCTAGTATCACAGGAAAGGACATTTAATTGCTGGACTTCCTAGTGTCAACCAGCCAGAGCTCTTCTTCTCAGCAGAGGGTCTGATCACTATTGTCTTTGGCGCCCACTCAAATAAAATAAGACAGGTTTCTTGTCAACTGGCATTCCATGCTAGCAGCATCACACACAAGTTATATTCTCTATATTATTTAAGCTTCCTTTTTCTGCTTTACTTGCATTCAATGAAAATACTATTGTATCAATCACTTCACCCTCCCTTAGGCTGTCGTTCCTGACATTTCAATGCTTTGGGTTTGTACTCTGAGTATTAGTACCAACTGCTCACAGGGAAGTTAAATATATACGAAGAACTAGACTCATGTTACTGCTGTACTGAGTTCTCACAACACTGACACGGCATTGCCTTCAATCTTCAACACATTGTTAAAGACCTCATTGGTAGCTCCAAAAATCTGACCCTGTTATCAGCTTAATTGAAAGATCTCTCACCAGCCTTGACAGATCCATCAAATTGTATGGGAAAAACAACAAACAGGGACACTACACAGATGCTGCAATCTACTTACTCCTATCACTCACAGGCTAAACTATAAAGACAACACAATCTATAAAACAAGTTCTGTATTATTTGCTGTAACAATTTGTCTGAAGTGCTAGAAGTACAGAACAGTCAATAGTTTGCAATACATGACAGAACAAAACCACTTTTTTGCTTTAATAGTGAATCTTGAAATTTTACTTTTCAGTAACACATGTAGTAAGCTACTTTACTGGATAGCTATGCAAAACAAAGAAATGTGATTACCAGAACTTCCTTTCTGCATGTCTGGCACATCTTTGCTCATTAAATCTTCCTGAAGTTGTCGTCTTACATTTCTGTTTCCAGAACCTTCAACCTCGTGAAAAGAGTCCTTTCTTGTCCTGCCATGCCCAGGAATCCAGGCAGCAGAACGGTACTCTCTCCAGGTGTCAGAAGTACCATAGTGATCATCAGATCCCCACTTCTTCATGTGGTCTCTTTGGATATCATTTAACTTTGACCCTTGACAGTAAGCTGTGTTTTTAAGCGAGTTTGGGCTACTCAAAACACTTCGTGGCCCTCGCCTGGGACTGCTTCCATAATGACCTGGAGATCCCTTTTTCTTTTGCAGGCTGGTATCTATTTTATTGCTACAGCCACTTCCATATTCATCCATGACTTGGTAGTCTATCTGTAAGGGACTTTCTTTTAATTCTTCTGGATACAAAGTTTCCTGTTCCTTATTTTGTTTGGCAAAGCAAGGTTTTGCAGCATCTCCCATGGTTATTGCTGTTCAATTCAGCGATTCCCACCTAGAAATCAAAAAGTTAAAAGCTGTATTTTAAAACCAATCAAGGAATGAACACTGGGTATTAACTGCTATGGAAATCTCAACAATCAAAGCCCTGGATTAAACCAAGGCAAGAAAAGGCACTCCAAAACTCAGCTAGGTCTCTTGTCTTATGTCTTAACACCTGTGGGTGGCTTATAAAATGTAGAGACAGCCTATGGCTTTTCCAGGCCCTAGGGTCTTTAGAACAGATAGAAAATTTTAAGAGTCTACATCAGCCTCAGCTTAGCACAGGAAAGCTTTGGAAGAATGGTTGAAGGAGGCAAAAAAGGACGGAAGGATGGCCCCAAGGCCATTCTACGTATCAGAATATTCTTCTTTGCCTACAGTAGACACTGTTAACCTTGTTAGGAATGAAAATTGTGATCATCAGAAGACAGGAAGATGCGAAGTTAAGTTGCAATATAGTTATGAGGCAAGTATGATACAGTGACTTAGAAACAATGTGCTCTCCTGCACATTTTAGGCAGACCATCACTCAGTATTAAGCACTCCTATTTCATATTATTTTAGCATTGTCTAAAACATCTAGACCACTGAATTGCTTGCACATCCATCCCCCTTTCTTAATGCAAAACACTCCCCCAGAGGTCTAACTCCAATGCTGTCAATAAACCATGTGGACTTTGAAAAGGAAACTACAGGAAGAGACTATGTAAAACATGTTAAGTGGCAGTGGTCTTCTCAACACTGAGTATTTTATGATTTAAATATAGACACATACAACCAAACAAAACAGATTTTCTCTTTCAAAATACACATATATTCTCAAGAATGCAGATAAAGCGTAAAGAGCATTTTCAAGCACCTAAATATCACAAAATGTCCTTCTGTTATGATTAATATGGGAGTAGGGTACCTGATTTTTCACATTTTAATTTTTTTTAAGTTCTGCAGGCCACAAAGGCACTCTTAAGAAACTCAGTGTCTGAATTTTACTGAGGTTTTTAGTGTTTATGATCCTCTTAAAATGAAGGTAGTTTTTTGGTCCCACACAAGCAACAAAACGAACAGGATTCCTGTCCTAAAGAACAGTATTTTACCCAGTTAGGTACATCTCTGGTAATGAAGCTGCTCCAACTAAGAGCGGAAAGAAAAGTTTCAAACGCACCAAGTGCACTTGATTCCTATTTTAGGCAAGAAACGCTGTCAAACCCGAATTTCAGAGTGACCTAAACCCAGCCTGTTTTAGAGTCATCCCCAGCAGCAACGCCCACACCCTGCCGCCAGGCTGGATGGCGACACGTCCCTGCACGGGAAGGAAACCGAAAAGTCAAAGTTTACGTTCGTCTCCGGCTCCGGACCGCGACTGGAGGTGCGAGCCTGGTGTGGGCAGGGGGCTGCCCTGGGGGCGAGCGGCGTCGCAGACGGGCAGGACACGGCTGCCAGCGGGGCCTGCAGCATCGGGCAGCGCCGCCCAGGCTGCCGGCGGGACCCAGGCGCAGGTGTTGGGATACCGGCACAGGGAACACACTACAGCAGGCGGGCCAGGGCTCCCTTGTCGCCACGCTGCAGCTCCCGACTCACTTCTCCACCGCCTCCCACAGGCTAACGAGAGTCCCTGGCCCCCTCCTGTCGAGCCCCGACTCCGGTGAAGGGACTGCGGCGCAGCATAACCCAAACCTGCCGCCTCAGCCGGACACAGCCCACGAGCAGAGGGGCCGCGGTAGGACCAGGCACGAGGGGACCGAGAGATGTAGGGAGGGAGAGAGGGAGGAAAAGGGGCGAGCGAGGGGCACAGGCCGCCGGTGGACACCGCCCGCCGCCGGGAAAGGCCTCGGCCCGCCGCCAGCCGCCAAGAGAAGGGCACTCACCGCCCGCTACCGCCGGGCCGCCCGCCGCCCAGAGCTCGCCATTGTGGCGCGACGGAAACGGCGCTGCTCCCCCGGCGCGCCCGACCCACGCGAGGCTTCCGGCAGAGCGGGCCCGCCCTCCGTGCCCGGTGGGGCGGGGCGGGGCGGGACAGGGCCGGGCGCGGGGGTGGAGCCGGCCCGGCGGGCCTAGAAAGCGTGCGTGGCTGAGCACCGACGTGTTGCGTCAGGTCTTTCCTTAAACTTCCGGTCAAGGTGACTCCACCACCTCCCTGGGCAGGCCGTTGCCGTGTCTAATCACCCTTTCTGTGAAGAAACTACTCCTGATGTACAACTTGAGTCTCCCCTACCTCAGCTCGAGGCTCTGCCCTCTTCTCCTGGCACCTGATGTTGTGAAAAGAGGCCGACCCCCACCTGGCTGCACCCTCCCTTCAGGCAGCTGTAGACTGCAAAGAGGTCTCCCCTGAGACTGCTCCAGGCTAAAACACCCGCAGCTCTCTCAGCCTGGAGTGGTGCAGGACTTGTGCTCCAGACTCTGCTGCCTCAGGCCTGCACAGGTACATGGCCCTTCTCTGGACAGGCTCCAGCACCTCAATGCCCTTGCAGTGAGGAGCTCAAATATGAACACAAGATTTGAGGGGCGGCCCCACCAGTGCAGAGTACAGGGGGACAATCACTGCCCTGGTCCTGCTGGCCACACTATTGCTGATAGAGGCTAGGAAGCCATTGATCTTCTTGGTCATTGAAGAGGTGAATAATGTACATTGCAGTTTTCTCCCAGAAAACAAGTTTAATTTACTGGCTAATTTACTGGCCTAATTTACTGGCTTGTTGAGAAGGGTCTCTTTCTACCATGCTTTTGAATTCATATTTATGGAAAAGAGGGACTCTTAATAAGCCTTGCGAGGTGGTCCTCATGAGAATTCACCTTCCCATTCCAGTTCAAATTTTCTTAGCAAAATGTGTGTACAAGTATATAGGTTTTGAAGATTGGTAAATAGCAGAGACTTCCCAGAATAATTTATGGTTCCTTTCCAAGATAGGAACTTGCAGCCTAGTGCTTTACATTAACAGTCAAAATATACTTTTGACCTCCCTTCTATTACCCTTTCCTGGTAGGATGCTTTCTGGAAAGGGCCTGGCATGGAAAGATAGCATATCTTACCAAAACAACTGCTGTAAGCAGGTGTGGCTGGGATACCAAACATGAAAACGTTTCTGAACCCTGTCCTGCCTCCTTCTTCCATAAAATGGTTGAGTGGCTGCAGGCTCAGCATGTTTCATAGCTCAGCATATGTCAGGCTCTGCTTATGTCATAGTGGCTGTGGTGGGTCAAACAATCTTGGGTTTGATGAAAACTTCTGCCTAATGCAGCCATGCAAGACTGTCTAAAGTTTTTGTCATTTTTATGAAGCTAAAATCCCTATGATTTTTATAAAAGTCAGTGATTAACATATAAATTTCAATTAGATGGATTATTGTATACTCAAATACTAGCATTTTCTATGGTCAGACAAAAATAAGAGAAAATGGGCTAAAAGTGTCATGTGTCCTAAACACATATGCTGCTTGCTTGGAAAGCCTAAATTTTGATCCACTGAGATTTTTTTTCCTAAATAGGTAGCATGAAGATGCAATTAGTCAGTTTTTGTTTAAAAAAAGTAAACTTAGCATGCGGAATACAAATATCCTGAAACAAGAAAGATAACTAGCAGCTCTTTCTGAATTTATCAGTAATTAAATAAGAGAGAGAAATTAAGGCATAGTAAAAGAGTACAACTCACTAAATAAAGTAAGACCAGCCATACGCATATAAATTATAAGACTGAGCTTGAAGAACAAACACAGAATTGGCCATCACAATTTTTTTTTTTTTTAAGAAATGTAGTCTCTGGAATTTTTTGAGTACTGATCTTCAATCTGATGCAGACATTTTGTTCTACAGTTTGAGAAAGCAAATATTTTATATATCCTTTAAATAGGTTTTGTTTTATTTTGCTGTTGTAGAAAAGATACTATTTTCCTTTATGAAAGCTTGTTCACCAAGGAATAAAGGATTGCATTTTTATGTGAAATTGCGAGACAAACTGGGCCAGTTTGGGATTACATTTTTGCCATACTTGTGCTAATGTGGATGGGATTGCCCAGGCACAGAGTTGGTAGGAAGCAGAGGTAGACTCCTGTTTTGACTGTGACTCAGACAGCTCTTGGATCCTCAACCCATACTTGCTTTGTCACCTCAGCATTTTAGTGTTGGAACACTCTCCATGTTGAAAAGCTACTAAGCTTTTGTTGCAATGTTGGAAGTGTTGCTCTTTGTCTTCATCAGTGATAGACTGATGAAGACAATGTTGCTCTTTGTATTCATCAGTGATAGACTGTGTCACTTGCAGATAAATCAGAAAACCTATCTGATACTTTATGCTGAGATTTTACGGAAGACAGTGGATATAGCCATTTACACCCCAAAAGAACTTGGCCGAATACGGTGTCCTTTTTCTTGTGTGTCTCCAGACTTCTTGCTGGTGGGGTAGTATGAGGAGCAGAAGAGGCCTTTATGCTAAGTGTTACTAAGCAGTAACTAAAAGATCTCTGTATTACCAAAACTTTTCCCAACATACATCCAAAACGTTGTCCCCATACCAGCTACCATGAAGAAATCTAGCTCTACCCCAGCCCAAACTAGAACATTCTCCACTAGTTATTCCATATCATTTATGTCATCTTAAGATCCCACCTTATCAAATACCTGCCTCCCCTTAAAATGTTTGTGAAACGTCCATAATTATCAGCAAAATGCTCACTGTGTTTGTTTGTAGTTTGACTTTGTGCTCCATCTGTTATGGTGGTCACTCAGGATGGGAGAAGTAGTGTGTTGCCTGGAGTCTTTTGGCACCGAAGGCAGCTCTGGTCAGGTCACTGCTGCACTCACATTGTGTGTGGAAAATCACACCATGGAAAGCCAGTGTCCGCAAAGGAGAGAGAAGAGTCCTGCAACTTTATTTTATAAAGGGAAAGGGCCCACTGGGGCCTACCCCCATCAGGTTTCTCTCTAGAGATTTTAGAGGATGAAGCCTCCTTTTGTCCTAAATTCCCATTTAGGACAAAAGGAGGCATGTTGCCCTCTTACTATCCCCATTGGCTGAAGAACTGCAAAGGCACAGGTTTCCTGAACCACTTACCACATATTTCCCCCCTCGAACCTGTGATTTTCCTCCGAAATTCAAAATTTTAAGTTTTCTAGGTTCTGCAGTACACTTGGTCTGGACTCATTTGTCTATTTTCCTAAAATTCTACAGTCAATCTGTCTAGGTTATGTAACAAACCCGCTGCTTGAGGTTGGTAGAAACATTGAGACCCATTTCAAAGACATTAACAACCATATCCTCAGCCATCAAATTGTTTGATTAGACATTACCACACATCTTTTCCTGTCAACTGCTTCTTATGATGTTCATCCTTCATTGTATTCATTCTTTCATCATCCTTGGAGTAGTTTCTGCTGTAGGGCTTTCTGTAACAACCAGCTCAAGTCACGTTTTACAACAATTTAAAAGTACATCCATTACATTCTCCAGCCCTGGTCCCTTTGGACTAGGCTGTAAATTTTAACAAGACAATGAATTCCTGCTCTTGTCTCTAGCTTTGCTAGCAGCAAGAGGTTTTTGCTATAATACCTTCAATAGGTTGCAGCCATACAGTGGTGATATACAGTGTTGAGTAACACTGCCATCTCACAACTCAAATAGTGAATTATTTTCACTCAGGATTAAATCACCTTGAGGTGCACATAGCACTTGCCCATCTTACTGCGTTTATCAAGTCCATCCAGGTCCCCGAGTAAAAACCATCCCATGAATAGGTTTACCCTTTCCTGAAGAAGGAATAACTGTTTCTTTTAGTCAGTTTCTCATACATACTCTTTGGATCTTTCTTCTTCCACAGTGCGCAGAGGCCTTGATTCGGCAGGTCAAGTGGCAGATGCTCTAATATTAACTAGCTAAGTGGCTTCTGCTAAATGTTTTTCACAATGCTTGAATGTATGTCCTGGTTACTGGAGATGCATTCCAGTTTAGCACTGGGATGTGCCCTCTACACCAGTTCTGACAAACTGTTAATGATAGGTTTGCAGTAGATGCCCAGTAGATGCCCAGCAGTTGCCCAGCTGACACCTCAAGCTACAAGCTGGGTGTTAAATGAGATAAGGGAGAAGAGCCAAACACTCTGAGCAGTGGAGGGTTTCTTTTTCTTCACAAATGACTCTGCAATGCTAACTCCTTCTGGGGAAACACCAGCTCAGTCCCACCGATCCTGAAGAGGTCATCTCTGCCAATGGCCCATAATGGACTCAATGGCACTAGCAGAACAGGCAGCTGCAATGACTCAAAGTATTACATCATTCCATTGTGAAACTGCCTGCCCTGGGGAAGGTACTGAGCATTCCCATCTGAGCCTGACTATGTATAATTCTGGTGTTTGGGGACCCCCACCACCCCTGGGTAGATCCAGAGGAGGACCACCACTTTTGACTGCAACCATCACTTCAACAGGACTGCAATCACCATTTGATAGGACTGGGACCACCACCTTGGCCAACAGGATTCCAGGCTGTAGTCTGACTTTATGGATCTAAGCCAGTTTTAATGTGTATTATTGCATTATTGTAATCTTTCTATTAAATTGTAACCTTGACCTGAAATGTCTGTTAAGGTAATTGGGTGGTCTTCATTTCTCCTACTGGTTTACTTTCATACCAGCCCAATGTCCCAGCACCTGTTACTCTCACTGTAGTTTTTAACAGCCATTCAGCTTTCCTGGAGGCTGGTGCCTAAGTGGGAATGTGATCACCTGGTTGATGTTGAGCCCCTTGACCAGGCTACAAGTTTGCTTCCGGAATGAGTCCTGTTGTCTGATTGAATTATTTCAGTTACCACCAAAGTTGCTCTTTAAGGCCCAAAACAATAATCCCGGCTGTGGCATGGATCACAGGGTATGTTTCTAACCATTCAATAGTCACTTCTATCACTGTAAGCAGATGGTGCTTTCCATGGCAAGTTCATGGTAGTCTGATAGTCTTCCCTGTGTTGGTATTTCAGCCATCATCTTCAAAATCAAAAAAGTTTTAGCTCCTGGCTTGTTTAATTGTGGTACATTCTTTGCATTCATGGGTAGCCTCTGCAATGGCATCAGTGATCAAATCCATGCCTTGATCATGGCCCCATTTGTATGTTTCTTCTCTTTGTACATGTTTTGATATATTATATCAGATATATGTCATAGGTCACCCTTATATTCCCAGTCCAGATGCATCTGAGTCACTTTCATTTTAGCAGCTTGGTCCACCTGCTCATTGTTTTGATATTCTTCAGTGGCAGACTCTTTGCTACGTAAACCGTTATGTGATGTACTTTTATAACCAGGTTCACCACACGAGCAGCAATAACTCACTGCAATTCAACAGCCCAGATGGGTTTAATTCTGCTCTGCCACCTGCTTTGCTTTCATTGCTATAGCCACCCCTGGAGCATTTGCCACAATCCATGAGTCAGAGCAGAGA